TTATTGTAATTTTGTAATTTTAATTGATTTTAATTGTTTTGTAAACTGCCCAGAGTCATTTCATGAGATGGGCGGTGACAAATTTAATAAATAAATTAAAAAATAAAATAAATAAAAATTGATACTACAATGAAGACACTATTTCCAGGTAAAAGACCTATATTTTGATTCACTGTAGCTGGCTGATATGTACTGTGGTTTACCTTTTTGAAAGCAGGCAATATCTGTTATCATAAAAAGAATTTTTTATATTTTTCTCTCTCACCTTCCCTCTACCCCATGCCCCCCCCCCAACTTACAGGATGGGATCCTTTTATGCACCAGGACTTGTGGGCATAAACGTATTACGTTTATTAATCTCCATGTATTTCCAGAGCTGGGCTGTTATGAGCAGCAATGTCCCCCATGAACGAGTGTTCAAAGCCTCTAAATCCAATAATTTTTATATGGGACTCTTGCTGTTGATTTTGTTCCTTAGTGTGTTACCAGTTGCATATACCATAATGTCCCTGCCTCCTTCCTTTGACTGTGGACCATTCAGGTACGGGGAGAACTTCATCCTGATTCCTTTACTTGTATGCTATTTTTCAATGATAAGCCAAACTCTTCAGGAAAAAAATTACATATAATTTTGTATAATTTTCATATACTGCACTAGCAATTATAAGAAATATCATTGAAATATTTATGTAGCTATCTGAATTAACAGACTAATCAAAATCAATGAACATATACTAAAATTGAAAAATTCAAATAGTAATAATTCAAACTCATTTGTACACACTGTTAATTTGTCTCATAAGAATATAACAATTCAAAGTAGGTTTGACTGATAATAAACCAGCCTTAGGTATAAATGTTTGAAGTACATCCATAATTATATCTATTACTTATTTTATAGCTAGAGAAAACAGAACTGTTGTTTCAATAATTGGATTTTAGAAGAAGGCTCTTTGAAGTTTGAGCATTAACAGCCAAGGCTGAACACATAATTCATTTGGCTGACTGGAATTAGTTTATAAAAGCTAATAAGCTAACACAGTGTTTGGCTAAGTTAACAGGAGTATTGTGTCCAGATAGCAGGAAATAATAATTCTACTCTAATTATTATCAAATTGCCTTTGTACATTGTGTTTGAAAGTGGACACCACAGTTAAAAAGACATGGATTGATTGGAGTGTTTCAAGAACAGACAGGATGTTGAAAGGATTGGAAAACATATTGCATGAAGCTTTGGAGAAAAGATTAAGTGCAACAGAAATCCCAGTCTTCCGATATTTAAAAGGTTGTGCAAGTGTTCTCTGTGGAGGGTAAGAATAGAAGTAGAAGTAATGGCTAGAAATTGCTGGGGGGGGGAATCTCAGCAAAGCATTAGAAGCAACTTCTTTTTTATCATGATAGATATTTGGCAATAGAACAGATTATATGAAGCACCAGCAAACTCTCCTATCCTTGACATATTTAAGCAAAATCTAAGCAATCATTTATTGGAGATGCTGTATCAGCATCCTACATTACAAGGTCTGCATTGAGCAGGGAAATAGACTACAGTAGAATCATCCAATCACTTGATGCTTTCTAACATGTCTTTGAATTCTGTGATTCCAATCTTGGATTATTAGGATCAGTCTATACCTGTACATCTGGATCGCTACTTTCTCCTCTTTTTTGATAACCCAGATTTCACTAACCATATCCCCAATTTCTGTCAGGCTGTTAAGGTGAGATTGTTGCAGTTCTAAGGTATAAGGGAGTTCTCTTCCTCCTAGCACTGAGTGGGACCCTCAGTAGCTCTTGCCTGCCTGTCTTGGCTGGTCTGTTGCTCCTTTGTAGGCTACACAAAAGCCTAATGCAGCAAGATTTTCCAGGATAAGAAACATCCTTTTTGGGGGAAACCAAAGGTTCTGAGGAGCATTCTAGCTCCCTCTGTCTCCAGATTTTGGCATGTAGCTGGTAGGGCCTTCAGGTAGTTTCAACAGGGAATTAAAAGAAGAATCTGCATTTCTGATAGCAGCTGCATTCCTGAAGTGACAATTCTTATGGAGCCCAAATAAATCGGGGAATCGCTTTATTTGGAGATAGATATATACATATTGCAGGAAAAGGAAAGGAAAATAAGAAAAAGGAGTCAAAAATCCAAAGGGGTGCTCTAATATGGATTGTGCTTGTTCAGTGGCTGCAGAACAAACTATTGGCAGATCAGACAGAACATCTGGTGTTGTAGAGAAGAAATGTTATCCTGAACAAGAGCATGCTACGTGGCAATGTTTAACCTGGGAGACAGAAATATAATGGTTCAGCATATAGAATAAAGCTGAAACTACCGGCAAATATCAGAGTGAGTTATAAAAATAAAGGCCTGTTTTCAAAGCAGCATTTTAGAATCCTCCTTATTAAGTCACAACAAATTATCATGAGTATAGGCAGTACAAGAATAATAAAAGCTGACTGGATAAGAGTATGTGCCAGGACTACTGTATTAATAAGTGTTTTGTGCTGCCATTGTGAATCAGCTCCTCTCAAATGGGTCTGCAGGCAGGACTAATATGCCAGTGACCTCTAATTTGATTTAGTAACTCTTTCATGCTACCCTGCAGATACTGACCCAACCTGAGGCCAGTTCAGAACAAATTGTCCTTTGGACTTTTCTTTTGTTAATAAGCAATGTCAGTAGCAATTTTTTATACTGTTTTGATGAAAGAAGGATTGTATTACATTTCTTTGGATTACATTAGACAAGTTGTCTTGCTCTTTAAAATTCCATTAGAACACATATCCACCTGAAACTGTATACTGCCCATTCCTTTAAAAGAAATTGATGGCATATAATCATTTAGTATCACTTTGTGAAACATTAAATTCTTATTGCCTATTAAATGGTTGGTGATGACATGCAATCAAACCTTCACCATCCTGATTCTCCAGTTGTATTGGGACTACAATTTGCAGAACTGTAATTGGCAACAATGCTGGCTGAGAATTCTAAGAACTGTAGTCAGAATTCACATGTGTGGTATCAAGTTGGAGAAAACAGCAATATATTATATTGTATTTGTTGTTACTTAAATCCAGCTTATATTGAGCATTAAGAGAAACATAAATTCAGAATTAAGCATAGTTTCTCATATCTCTTTAAAAATAGAACATAGTTTGCTGTTGTTTTCAAAATCATGTCTTGTGAGATTGTCACTATTAATTTTTATGTATCTTAAATTTTCAAATTCAAAAAAAAGAAGAGAAAATGTGTTCAACTATTATTTTTTTAAATATTCCAAAATAACACAAGCTGAGGATATCCAAGCAGCATATTCTGAAAGTACATTGCATGAAAAGTTCTTGTATGACCTCTGTTTGCTGAAGTTTGATTTCTGTCATTATATACTCCTGTTCATGTATTTTTTTTCCCAGTGGAAAAAAGAAAATGTATGATGTCATCCAAGAGACCATCAAATATGATTTCCCACCCCTTGTAGCCAAGGTCTTTGGTTATTTGGCAAATCCAGGACTAATTATAACTGCAGTTTTGCTTATGATGTAAGTTACATTGAGCAAGATGAGGGAGGGGGAAAATTGGATGCTTGGAGATAAGGATAAATTGGTAGGTTGTCAATTAAAATTTGTCATAAGTTAAAGAACTGCTGCATGTAACTGTAAATAAAGCAAAATCCTTGTCAATAGATTATGCAGCTTTCTCAAAACTCTTAATCTGCCCACTCCCAAGTCCTTCTTCTTGTATCCATTATATAGACTGTTGCTTCCAGTGTGATTAACAAATTCATTAGAAATAGATCTGTATTTAACAGTGACTGCATTCTTAAGATAGCAAGAATCTTAGAAATACATTGTTTGCATTCTCTTGAATTTGGTTGTCAACTGGAATTCATATCTTGACAGTTTTAGTTAACCTTAGAATAGACCCATTAATTATAACAAGTTTCAGTAATTATTGAAATAAAACTAGATCTAGAATCTAATCCACAGTTAAAAGGGTTTTCCAAATAATAAACGATTCCTCAAACTATGGGTTGCAACCCCCTGAGGGGGGGTTATGTACAGGGTGGAGGGTTATTATTATTATCTAAGATGATCGGGCCTGTTCAGACAAAGTGGGAGTGCTATTAAAACTGATTTTACTTTGCCTGGGCAACATCACAGTGAATTTTAGAGTGCTCCTGCTGTTGTCTGTACAAGCCAATCAGGAGCACTTGAAAACTCATTCCTATTTTGCTTGGGCTTCAGTCTAGGATCTATAAAAATGGCCAAACCCACAGATATAGCATCTCTTCTTGGCAGATGGTTTCTGCCAACTGGTGATTTCTGGCATGGTATGTAGCTATATGTATTCACTGCAGAGTCTGGAGGTTAGTGTAGGTTAGGTTAGTTAGGTTAGTGGAGGTTAGGAGGTCTATATAGGTTAGTGAAGATCAGTGCTTTTATCTACTGTTTTAAATTACTAACTTTTCAGAATTGGAAAGGTTTTGTTAGGTGGTAAGGGGAAGAGCTAAAAATGACCAGTCTATTGGTAGTACCAGTAAAAGTAAGCCTAAGTCAAGACACTATAATGACAGTTTGATACCTCTTAGAAAGCAGTTTCTTTCTTGTCCAACTCTGACTACAATGAAATATTGATTTTATTCATGAGGGGAGTTGCGCAGGTTTAGTTATCTAATACAATTGTAGGTAGTTTGGGAATCCCTTTGTATTTTAGTATATTCTTGAAGTCTTTTTTTTTTTAATGGATATTTGATTTTACAGTCTTGCCATATATTACCTGAATGCCGTGGCTGAAGGATATAAACATGCCAATGCAGAGCTGAAAAAGAAAATGCAAATGGTATTTAGTTTCATTTATATTTTATGTTAGTTTAATTGGAAAAGTAATCATATTCACATTACTTGGGTATAGACTTCTACATGTGATAGCTTTTCACTTTTTTGAGCTACATGATTCAAAACGTAATGTACTAATTCTTATGCTGACTGCAGTATCTTATGTTTTTGTTAATTTCTTGTTACAATCACAGCAATTTCTCCAAAAGTGATTTTTTTAAAGAAAATATAATACATTCACACATACATAAATATTTAATACCTAGAAAACCCAGAGCTTTATTTTTAATATGCCACTCGGTTCATACAAGAAACCTGGATTATTTTTTAATCACTCTGAACATATAAATCTGCCTAAGCCAAGACATTTAGAATAAACTTCATATTTGAATTGAACAGTCAATTTAAACATTGACCAAATCAAACCTGTGGGATTCTATAAAGTAATATGACTATTAAACATAGTGAATGAATGAAAAAAAAAAACCTAGGTTTTATTGTGCTCACTAGTGCCTTTCTTATTTTAATCTTTCTATGGACAAATGAGAAAGAAAAATACAAACTGAAACTCAGCTAAACAAATCTCTTCAAATTACACTAAATCTAGCATACATTTTCTGTGATTATGCGTTCTAGGACATGGGTGGAACAAACATTACAAAATGGTCAAATTTAAATAAATTAAAATAGCAAATGGGCAGAGAAGATTGCAAGATTCTTCTCAGACACTCCTGCCTGCTGCCTCATATCATGTTAGAGCAGAGCTTCCTGTTTTAGTCAGAGTATTTTCAAAACTATACTAGGAACTATAACTTCAGACTGGTATGAGATGGAATGAAAGTTGTCAAAAGATCAAAGATAAATTCAGATGTTACTCCATTTCAAATTTTATTTTGTTTTGATTTTAAAACAAGACTAAGATTACATTACCCACATTAAAGTCTCATCTTAAGTCTCAGTTCTGATTAAATTAGATGTAATTTCTTTCCAAATGAAGCAGGTATTTCAATGACATCTGTTTTTATTTGCACAGCAACGTGAAGATGAGAAAAATAAGAATAAGAAGGTTCCTGCCAATCCTGCAATGCAAGACCTAGAAGACTTGCTTGTTCCATATGCAAAAACCATGGAAGGGCCCAGTGCAGCTAAAGGTAAAGATAGCCTAGTCCAGTCAGTGTTGATCCATCTATTGCTTTGGGTGAGTCGAGGTATTAGGACATCTTTAGTCCCTCTACTATTTGCAGAGTATTCTCCTCCCTAAATGAGAGACCAAATGTGCCATGGTCTAATCTCCAGGTCACCCTACACACTTAGAAAGAGATGGCCATCAATGTGATGGAATGTATCTATGAAGGGGAGGGTGATGTGGTGGACAGCAACAGAGAGCAAGGCTATCAGGAAGGAGGGAGTGCGTTCCAGGAATGGAAAGGAGACAAAACACAATTCAGTCCGCAGGGGAGCCTGGGAAGCATAAGAGGTTCAGGAGAGCCACTCCGTAGAATCTCCCAGGGTATATCCACTAGTTGCAGTAGTATAGATTGAGTCTGGCAAGACTGATGTCAGGCCCAGCCCAAGAACAATGGTGAAACAGCCCAGCTGAGTTAAGTTCCTTTATTTGCTTACACCATATAGACAGAATCTTGCCAATCTTGGTAGTCCCTAGTAGTCCCCAGTCTAAGTACTAATCAAGTCT